ACAGTAGCATATTGTTGTTAGTAATAACAACATGGGGGCATAAGCTTAGAGTCTATTGTGAGGACTGATCTCCTTACATCCCCGTGATGTTAACCAGCACATTTTGTGGTGAAGCCTTGGTGAAACATTACAGTCGAGAGAGTTTTTGTCACTGACTGAGAAACGGAGGACGACATGTCTGTCTGACTTTAACAGGACGGCGATTTATAAAACAAACATGTTTCATTTAAAAGGACGAGAAACTGTTTACTCTGGTTATAGAGCAGGATAGCCAATGGCCACTTTCTGACAGACCTCCCTACGGCCACGCAAAACACAGTCGCCCTCTGTTGGAGATGAGAAAGAATGGCTTGGGGCACTTCAGCACAAGCTACGTCCATCTCTTCTATTGTCCATCAGGTGCTCTCAGACTGGGGGTGGATCCATGTAGAATCACAGAACAGGTGGGGATAATCTTACTAATCCACGTTATTTCAATAAGATTATAGAATGGCTCTTTTTTCATACCTGTAATCAGCACTTCCTCCCAGACTGTAAGTATCTGAGTTAAAACCGGACCCAGCCTGCGGAAAAGCGCTGCATTAAGCACAAATTTGGGGAACAACATGTCATCGTTTTGCTGTGTAACCTGTAAGAACCACAGCAGAGAGCTTTGAAATTGATGACGATGGTCAGCTGGATAGGGACGAATCTGCAGGAGGAGACGCAACGCCAGACACATCATGGACACGGCCGCTGAGCATCCCTCCCGTTATTACTCCTGGGTGGAGGAAAACTGGATTTTCAGGAGGAGTTTTTAATCGATCAAACTGCCACAGTGCTGAACAGACCACAGATCAGTGATTTAAATCTGACCTGTTAATTCTCTGTTAAATCACCTCGATCACCAGGTGTGTGACTTTTAATCCTGCATTTACCCCCTTCATCCCCGTTTAACCTTTAAATCCTCCTCACAGAGCTGTCAATCATCCATCAGAGAGCTCCTCTTCACAACATACTGCAGTTTCTTTACAAGATTAAACGGCACACACACCTGACTGTGTTCTACCTGCAGAATAATGTGCTATGATGCAGCACAGGCGGAAGCTGCAGATATCTCCTGTTTTCTTTATTCAGCCTCTCATGCACAAGCTAAAAGCTGAGGACACAGGTTACAACATTCACACAAAACTGATTTCAGCCAAGCATAACATTACTAAAATGTTTGATGCCATTTTTTTAGATAATAAAATTATGCGTTTAAATGCTTTTCATTAATTAGGTTGCTAAATGCATTCTCTTGAATTGAATTAACATGTTCACAGCCCGATACACAAACTGTGTGTTTTACTAGGGGCGCGGCCTCTAACTGACAGGTGGATGGTAATACAGGTGGATGCTAGCTTCACCTTTACTAGACCTCTGCACCATGTTTGTGCTGTTGGAGCCTTTTGGAGCATTTTAATGGTGTTATCTAACCAATGACAAAGCTGCTGGGAGGTTACTGTACTAACACACCTTCAAAGAAGGCGACGTTTGGGTGCACAATAAGATTTAAGGATTTTGATTGGATGTTACCGAGCGCTGATTAGCAGGTATCTGTGTCTGTGAATGCAACTTCAACACATAAAAATGGGATCTTACAAACCAATGAATCAACAACCGTCATTTATACAGTGTTTAGCTAATTTTGTACACAAGTCTGTGTGCACACACGAACTGTTCACGATTAACCAAATGTCAAGTCTGTTCTCCATCCCGACCAGTCACCAAGATTTAAAGGCTTATATAGACTACTGTGCTTTTCCTGTTGATGGAGTAAGCTTTCATTTAAAGCAGGCCCGTAAGTAAGATGCAAACAGGAGCTGGTTTTGGTAACAGTGGTGATTTATTTTCGTCTGCATCGACACAATCAGTCTACCATCAGATATCGCAGCAGACACATGATTCATGGAGTTTTTTAGCTCCACGATGACGTGCTTTGACCCTGACGCTGTACAGTAAAACCAATCTACTCAGAGGCTGCAGATATGAAGGCTATTTGCTCGGCTGCTCGTTCTGCTGCGAGACAAACAACCTGAAACAGCATGTGGAATTGATCTGAATCATTCATTACTGTTGCAGCAGCCAATATAATGTTTCACCAAGAATATAAATAAGACAACAAGCCGAGAGAGAAGAGCAGGCAGCGGCGTGGCCCGAGAGAAAAGCACCACCAATTCATCATTCCTTCCATCCCTGCTCATGTAAGCTTTATTGTATTTGTGTCTGACTCTTATGAGACTGCAGTGAAAAAGCTCAGATTCACCAGAAACCCAGTGCTCTGCACAAACTTTGCCCTCGCACTCGAGTGTTTCAGACATTTCTGTTTGCCACAACTAATATACAAATCAGACAGCTGGCACAAAGCTTGACAACAGGCCGTAAAATTTGCACTTGGCACAAACCTCTGGACAGACGTTGTCTCCCAAGCCAAACATGAAACATTTGGCAGTTTCATTCTGTCAGATTATCACCATCAAACTGAAAACACATGTCATTGGAGGCTGATGCTGTTTCCCCATTAACAGGACCGGTCTGTCCACCCTGAAAAACAAAGTGGTACCAGGCATTGGCTATCCCAGGTCCAAGCTAAAGTAAGCCTCAGCTGTCCTACACAGGCAAGGGTAAAATCTGGAGACACCTAGCCTGACTAGTCCCAAAGATAAGGCTCAGGCCTAGGAGAACAGGTTAAAGGTCAGAAAGACTGAACCAAACCGTCCTAGATTCCAGGAAAGAGACCAATGGGATACAGCTGCACCAAGAATTTATACCAGTGACCAAGAGAAGTACGCCTAAAGAGGAATGGGATGAGTGTTTATTACCCTAAGACTGAGCTTTAGTGACCACAGAGGCCTGGATAAAGACCATGAGCTTCTTTCAAGTTCACGCTAAAAGAAAGTTACTCGACCCAGGATGAAAGTCAGACATGGAGAACTGGACCAGCATCCAGGCTAAAGATCAGCAAAGACCGAACTTCCGGTCCCAGAGTCCCAGACCAAGATCCAGGACTCATGCCAGACCATCCAACATTTTTGACTTCAGATGAGAGGAACAGAGTTATTTTGTTTAACAGTCAGCAGACTGAGCTCTTCCTCAGCTTTACCAGTTAAGGAAGGTTAAGGAACATAACGTTCTCCAGGTTCAAACCAGTTCATCATTCCACAGACAAGAAACGCACGAGTCTGAGGACACGCTAAAAGTATGAGCTTAGCTTTGGTCCATGCCAAAGACCCTGAAGATGAAGCTGATGGAAACTTTGGTTTGTGTTTGTTTTTAAAGGTAATTTTATTGAGTCTATTCAGTCCAATTACAGAAACTTTATTAATATATAAAACTTAACCTGCATTTAACCTCTGACACAAACAACATCAATTCATTTATACATCATTTTTCTTTAAACAAGACGTTCTGTGTCATTCATTGAAAGATTTTACTTGCAGAATTTTAGTGTCCAGTTTAGTGTTTCAAGATAAAGATATACTCAGACTTCCAAAATGAAGACAGGCTTTAAAAGGACAGTTGAAGTCTAGAGGAAACAGCTTTGACCAAAAAAGCTAATCCACCCTAATCCCAGATGAGATGCCAGCTCAGAAAACCCACATCCCATTAAAACCAGAGGTCAGAATGAAAAAGCCGACAGCCCCGTCCGCCCGCCCGCTTCAGACGTAGCAAACCAAACGTACCCAAACCAAAGCGAGGCAAAGACAGCAGAAACCCAGAGAGAGAAAGACCGAGAGGAACTGAGAGCAACAAAAATCACAACAAAAGCATCCAGCGTGTGCTGAAATACGTCACGAACGGGACTGAGGGCCTGCCGGTTCATACACGGCCTGCAAAAACAGAAACACAAACACACACACACACACACACACACACACAAACAGTGAGATACTGATGTATGTTTACTGAGACAAAAATGAAAACAGACTCAAAAACAGGATTTCAAATAATTAGTGCCGCAGATCACAGGAAGTAAATTAACATGATCCAAAATGAGACCCAATGCGGTTCAGCAAGAAAAACTACACAATGTGAAATATTCTGTGAGTTAACGTGAGATAAAACAAGTCCAGATTAACTGAGATGTTCAGATATTTGCTGTAATCTCAGTTTTGTTGGAACACATGACCCAGACATTCAGACACAGATCCTTGAAAGGAAATCGAGGAGATGATCTGAGATGAAATGAAGCCCGTCAGATATTCAGTGACAGCTGCAGAAACAGATTCTCTGGTAATCGTTCTTCAGACAGACGTGACCTGATTGAGATGAAGCTAAGAGCGTGATGAGTTCCTGCTTCAGCTTTTACCTGAACCTGTTCAGACGCGTGCACGCAGCTAAATCCTCTGCTTCATTGCACTGCTGCTGAAGTGCCTTTGAGCAAACAAGTGGCAGGCAGGACGTAAGCGATCAAACCTTTCTCTGGCTGTGACACTGACGATAGAGGGAAGTTACCAGGCCTGACCATGCCCCAGCAGTTCCTCTGAGACCCAAGTCCACACAGCATCACGCACAGAGTTCACCCCTTACCTACCCCTCCCCCCAGCCATAGCTCTGTGGTCACATGCTGCCGCTGGCTGATTGGCTGATCTGAGACTGCAAAAGCTCAAAAATATGACAAATTCGGTGAGAACACAGATGATTGGGCTTTGACCGGCCACCCAAGGTCAGGTAGTGTGAGCCCTCCAGCACAGGCTGCAGGTGTGCTTGTGTATACAGAGGGTTACCTGTGTGTGTTCAGTGTTATGAAGGCAGTACAACTGCAGACCTAACCTGCTACAGAGGACAGACATGAAATAACTGCCTGCTGACCAATCAGAAGTCTGAAAGATCCCGGTGAGCATTAATGAGAAATATAGCTCATGATAAACATCCATCTTTAGGAGTGGTTGTAGTTTCTACGTATTTCTCCAAAGCATAGAAAATAAAGACGACTTTTAACCACATCACTGTAACAGATTCTGCTGTGTGTTACTGACCTTTGGCCTCCTCCAAGTCAGAGTTTAGCTCCTTGTCTGAGTAGCTGGGAGGCCTGTAGGGTGGGGGCTGTCTCGGGGGGGGCAGCACTACCTCTGATTTCTGCAAACAAACACATTTATTCATAAAAACATGGACTCTGTTGACTTCCAGTCAGACTATAGACCATAAGTGTGCAGACGGTTGTGCACGAGCCTCAGGCTGTGTGAGATAGGAGCCTGGAACACACTGAAACCTGGTAAAACTAAATGGCAGCTGTGAGCAAGAAACAATCAGCACCACCACCAATATGTCCTCCAACCTTTAGGCTCCGTGCTGCACGGCTCAGTTTAAACTCTGATCTAAGCCCTGCTTGGTCATCTGTAGTAACTGTAGAGGTCGCCTGCAGCGTGTAAAGTCAAACTACTACCACAGCAGACTTTGTGTTGTATAATTCAGTTTTTGTTTTTTCCAGTTTGTCTTTCTCGTGCAGTTTCTGCTGTCGTTTCCTGCATCAGACTTTTGGAGGCTACACTGCCATTAACAAAGAAACACCGGAAGCTCTGAGGACTCGCGTGACTGCATAGCACAATCCTGCGTCGATCACTCCATCATGACGTCTGTCTCAGAGCTCTGTCTTATTTCATTCTTTCAGGCTGCCAGCTTTATTATGGATTCTTTATACTGTCCATCTGTCTCAAAGGCGTTAGATAAAGACTGGAGTATGATGGTGAGTGTGGTTTAAGCATGGCTGAAGCTGAGACTTTGACGTCCTCTCACACTGATCCTCAGACCAGGACCGTGCCCTGTGTGGACGCAGCGCCCGGCTGCAGCTTGAGGACAAACACCATCAAACATCAGATCTTATTTCACACTGAAAGAGCCGATCATTTTGTTTCGTTAGCCCACGTCAGTAAGATGTTTTTATTTTGTCCCATTCTAAGCTGTTTTATGGGATCATATTCAGCTGCTCTCACAGTGTTTTGTTGCATTTCTTATTTATTAAACTCGTCTCTGTTGTTTCTGTCATGTTGTAAATGATTATGTTACAGCTCGTGTCGTCTTCAGCTGCTCTAAGATGGATTTTCCAAATCCTGGGAAAAATAAATTCAGTCTCATCTTATCTGAGTCTCCACAGGCAGCAGATCTAATCTGTTAAATGTGATTTCTGAGCTCCGGAATGACATGCCGCTGTTTGTGCAGAGGCTGCGTCGCCCTCTGCTGGTCTCTGTTGAGCTGTGCAGGCATCTCACAGACATACATTTCTGTGTGTCCTCGTTAATACAGAGTGTGGAGCTCTTACCGGAGACTCCATCCTCTTCGTTTGGGATCTGCTGATGGTTGAAGCTGTCAGAGACATGGGCTGAAACACACATACACACACAATTAAACACACAGAAACTCGAAGAATCAAACAGTTTGGACC